AAAAAGTGAAGTTTATGTGATTCTTGCTTTCCTGATCATAGCTGAGATTATCAATGTCCATGGAGCATATTTATCCGTAATTAAGTCCAATGCCTAGCACTGAATTTGTATCGTAACTTTTGCCGTTAATCCCCTAGAATATGTCTTTTTCCCCATTATCACAGCAAAAATCATTTCATTTTCCCTCAAAGGATTGTATTTGTGCATAATATTTTTCCAAAGTCACATTAGGTACAGGTCCCAGTGGAAAAGAAGAAGATAAATAACTACCTGTAACATTAGCCAGGCTAATTCAAATCAATTTCAGCAGAAATACTAGCAAAGCTATTTCATTGTCCTGTAATAAGCCCACCCCCTACCTTGAATCAGAATTTATGTGTTGGGTCCCTGGGCTTATTGCAGAACAAATACAGCATTTGTTTCAAACAAAACTAAGGCAATACATTTCAACAGCTTCTGTGAACTTAAAAACCTGAACAATACATCTCCAGCACACACACAGGCATACACACATAGGGAGATTTAGCCAGGTGGCATAGGGCTAGTAGTTAGCGCCTGATAAGACAGCTCCTGCGAATTTCTCAATATTGTATTGATTAATATTTATATGCTAAACTGTATTGTATTGACTGTATAAAATTGTATTGACTGTATAAAATTGTATATCTATGTACTGTAAAGCACTTCAGAGTGGCTTATGTTAGCTAGATAGAGCGCTATATCAAATATTGTACATTATTATTATTAATGTATCGACTCATTTACCCCTTAAGACATATTTGATCTCTTCCAATATAAAGGTTGGAATAGTTCATTATGAAATTTCAGGGGTGAATGAGTTAATTGTACTTCATGCAGGTTTTATTACATTCGATCTATAATTGAATTTTAAATCTGCCCCTGGACAAGGTTTAACTGTTGATGTATTCACATGGAATTGTTGTTTCTTTGTATACAAAATTGAATGCTGTCGTATTAAACTGATGTACAAATGAAAGGAAGCCAACACAATGACCGTTAGCTACAGTTATTTGTATTATTAACAAAATGGAACTACAGCGTCTGATGAAAACTATAAATATACAACATGAATCCATGTGACAAAGATTATAAGTCGTCATTATCATGATATAATTTCAATGTAGATATATGTATATATGGATTCATAGTTATTAACTTTGGACATTAACAAAATGTTTTATGAATATTTTCCTGACATTTTTCAAAAGAACATTTTTTTTTTAATTTAGTATTCAAAAGTTGATCTTAAAATATGCTGTTTTTTGACATTCAGTATCAAACATATCTGAATAAAAAAGATTTTTTCATAACCGTAATAAACCGTTAACAATTAACTCCATTGGAATACAGTTAGTTATAGTAAACCATTACACAAATCAAATCAAATTTACAATAGAAGGATTAAGAATTAGAAATATTTCCATATTAGTATTTGGTTAAGTACATGGACTTAAGAATTAAGATTATTTTTACATCCATACATAATCGTTTCATTTCATTTCAGGACGTAAACAAGCGACATATCGATCACCTGAGCGCACTGTTGAGTAACTATACTCATGGCCGTTTTAGCAAAATAAATCCCCGATTGTGCATAGAATATTCTGCTACGCTGCACAAAACAAGATCTGGGAGATTTCTACATCAAAAATTAGATTCAGCTTGAAATTTATACATACACACAGATGAAACTGAAAAGGGATTTATTTCTAGTATACTGCATCGAAATAAATACTAACGTTGATAGCACATTACCGTGCTAATCATATTAAATGCTAATGGAGCTAGGCTTACCTGTGTACATTTTTTCATGGCAGGGGTTTATTTTATATCGTACTGTATCAGAAATCTGACTTTAAATTCCTTCACATTTTTGTAACGATTGAAAACTGGTGAGAAACGTTTTAAACCATTACATAAGATCCCTTCTATATTATTATATTGACAGTCAATGTACCAAGTTCATTCTATTAAGCACCCTCCGTGTGCACCCCCAAACCCTATTTGGTCAAAGCTTCCTATCCCTTGACCATAATTTACCAACTTACCTGATACAAAAGTGTTGTTTTGGCTAATTGTTGTTTTTTGGTTTCTTTTTTTTTTAGATTTTCTGAAGGTTCAAACTAATTTAAAAATAAATTTTCCCAAATGGCTAAGCACCCAGGGAAATTATTCAGTATTTGTAGACTATGGTATGTTTTGTATACATTATATTTCTCATTCAACTGAAAGGTTCTTTGATAGATCTTTGATAGATTGATGTTTAAATGCCTACAAATTATAGAATGATTTGTGAATTGAATTGGGTGATTTGGTTTTATCATGGAATGGGAAAGTAATTGGGGAAATTTACATGTATTACATTTGTATAGTTCTAAAGCTGGATATAGTTTCTGCTTTCAACTCCCAAAACTTTCATTTGTAGCATGTTTGTCATTTTTTGAACAAATCTCATATACAGAAAGTTGTCAAGATTTGTCAAGAAATGAAAAACAAATATACAGTTAAAAAAGAGAATTATTTTTGGATCCTGAAAAGGGCAGCTTCAACTATTATCATACCTCATCTTTATACTGAGTACCAGTGTGTCTAATTGGATGATAATGGTCACATGACTGGGTAATAAAATATCATGTCACCCTCAAGCTCTCAAGTTTCCTCAATCATATTTCCTTATTCGGAGCCTCTCTAGAGAATTCCCCAAGAGCCACACCACAACCAAGTTCCAAATGACAGAAGCAGACGACAGCAATGGCGTACTGCATCAACCTGATCATCTCTACTATTGTGATATTTAAAAAAAACAACATAGTAAAATATTTAATGCCCTTGAAGTAGGTAAACTTGATTCTTTGTGTCCCCTCCATTTATCATGTTTCACTCAGACTTTGCCCTCATGAAACACGATTAACCTCAGAGAAGCAAAGAATCGTGTTTTCCTGACAGGAAGGGCAAGAAATGCATAAAATAACCTTGCCCTCAGGAAATGCCTATACATCTTTTCGTATTGCAGAGTTATCTGCTCTTGATAGCAGGTATTGATTGTTACATCATTTGTTTGTGAGAGTAACGTCATCATTTTTTTTGAGAAAACAACGTAATTTTCTCATACAAACTAGTGACGTAACAATCAATATCTGCTCACAAGAGCAGATAACTCTGCTATACGAAAAGACGGAATACGCTAACTGCATAATTATTATTTTCTTGCTAATGCCAAACCTAACTTTTTGGTTTAATTCTTTAGAATTTCCTGCACATTCTCTCTTTCCCATCCCAAACTCCAAGCAATATTTTGGACCAGCAATATCTCCATGACAAATCAAACTTGTTTACCAAGTTTGTTTGTCTGTTTAGCCTTGGTACTCCAGGGGTTACGCTTACCTATAGTTTCTCTGCATACCTGGACTATGTCATTACAAAATCGAAGGCTCAATCTGTACCACCTTGTGGATGAGACAAGAAGACTAGTTTGATCCTTTGATGTTCATCAAAAGAATCTGAATCTTAAGAATCCTAATGGTACAATTGACTGGCTTTGAAGTCGGGTGTCTCTCCTTTGTAATCTTCAAAGGACAGGTATCAGCCTTATAATTAGAGTTTGGTCAGTTTTTTTTTACCCGAGACAAAAAATAGCTTGCTGTGTCCTTACAATTTTGCTATGACATATTCCAAAGGTGCAAAGAGCGGAACTGAGCATAACCCGGGTTCCCTGGAGTATCGAGGGTGCAATAGGGGCTGCTGATCAGTTTCTGTTTTTCAATGTCCCGTATGCAAAAGACAGCAAAGATTGAAACCCTTGATACCACAGAGGCCCCCATGTTATTTGCATTTTACTACATGCAGCAGGTCTTTTTTCCCCCAAACCTGTAGGGCATAGGAAACTCTTGGTTCAAATACCCAATCTAACTCGAATATGCATAAAGGCTTAACATGATAAATATAAATGTTTTATTTTGAAGTTATTGAAAAACAGTTAATGTCATATCGACAGTTTAGTGTAAGCACTGCATGTTTTATAAATATTTGTCCTTTTAAAATTGATCGGGATCATTTTGAAAAGCTCAAATTGAATCATTGAAAAGGTGCATGTGTCCTTTTGAAATTCTATATTGTTTGCCTCAATATATGATATGAGGACGGTGTACCAGCAAACTGTGTAATTTGTATTGAATTAATTCAAAATAAATTGTATTGATAGGTGAACTTTATTCTAATGGAACCTACCAATATTTGACGATATATAATAATACTCTTGACTTAAGGAGGCTGAACACCATAAGTTATCTCCCTTCATTTTTTTTTTTTTTTTTTTAAACTTTTTTAACTTTTTTTTCATATCACATTTACTACGATCACATGAACAGTACAATTTTTTCATATACATATTTTCGTTCTGTAACTATATAACAATCAGAATCGGTATATATGTCAGTCTAATTGTTTTTTCATGTATGTACACAGTTTTTATTAATTTAGAGTATATTCCCATCCGGATATTTCACTTTTTTTAAAGACAAGTACAGAGTACGTACCAGGACATCTGTAAGTAAGACAGATATCATTTCTATATTATAAAATCTGGCATCATGACTTACAACTGAATTCAAAAACCTGTATAAAAATTCATTTCAAATTCTCGTTGATAATATTGATTTCTATTAGATTGTAACACAAATTTGCACAATCTTTCATAATCATCGATTTTTCATTAACGATTTTTAATTACGATATTACAGGTGATTTATACAAAATTGGCAAACATTATTTATTGGGTGATTGATCATATAATTCCATACAAAATTTAGCGTTCATCAAATTACAGATATCTTTTCTATCTGCAGGTGTTTAAAACTAGGAATTGATTTTCGTGTCACGGTAGGAAACGGTAACCATTTGAAGACATAGCTGTCAGAAAAAAATCTGTCGCTTTTAGAAAGTTCTACACTCAGTTAAGAATATGAATAAACTACACTTACCTGTATGAGATCCGAACACAGGTTTTATCCCACGAAATGTCAAAATAGAAAATAAGAAATTCACTCTCACACTTAAATACCCGTCCACGTTTTCACTGACCACTGTCCACTCTCGTTAATGATGGGGATATTTCGTTGACGGCTCTCACACTGACATCAGCGCCATTGTCACCTCTCGAACTGTGTGGCGTACAAGCTTAGAATTGATCGGTAACCAAGCACGCTAGTTCTGCTCGGCATACACGCTTGCTGGTAACTGGGGAGTTATATAATACCTATCTGGGGTTAAATAAATATAAAAACTAAGCCTCGGACTGGTNGGGAGTAAAAACAGATTGAAATTGTGCGTTTAGCATATATAATACCTATCTAGGGTTAAATGAATATAAAGATTAAGCCTCGGACTAGCCACTTTATTCTCTATGTCCAGCTACTCCGGACATTTAAATGACCGACCATTTTAAACACAAAATGTACATGTTGGTATATGTACACATATCGGGTCCGTTTTAATACTTTGTACAAACGCAACAACATCGCCGACGACAGGTAAAGCTTGGCCCTGAATGTATCCCTTCAAATGTGAAAATACTTCTTAGTGAAAGTATTCCTGTTTAATGATGCGTGAACGATGTTGGCATATGATCAACACTTTAAAATGGCTTTACATTTTAAATTGATGCGTAACGTTAGACAAAGATTACGTACACGTCGAAGAATGAACCTTTATGTTTTTGCCTTTAATCTTTTCAGATGCTTATTTAAATTGATATATTGATAAACACGATATATCACAAACCCTTACCGACACATGATATATACTAGAAAACTTATGCTATACTGTACAATTAGCAGCGTCCGTGTATATGAAACCGCCATACATGTCTATTGCCTCCTCCTTCCATTTGCCACATCGCTATTAAAAAATAACGTCATTTTTTTTTAAATCCCAAAAACCTTTCAACAATTCCGGTATATATTTTGCTTGATGTATCGCAAACTTGCGTTATATAATGACAATATATCGTCGGATAAACAGTGGCAGTAACACGAGGGTTCACTGTAGATATATCTCTACTGCCACGGAATTAGATTTCTAAGTCCGTGCTCCTGCCCATAGTTGCTTGCTATCTCATTAAGACTATATAAAACGTGTTTTCAATGCTCACTTTTCTTTATTTCATTCACCAGTTTTTGTCCCTCGAAGTTTTCGCCAAACTCAGGTAAGCTTTTTAAACGGGTGTTCGTTATATACAGTTAACGTTATGGACATGTGACCGGTACGTTATACGTCATGTACATGTGATCTTTATAAACAGGCGTTCGTTGTAGACATGTGGTCGTTATAGACACGTGACCGTTATATACAAGTGTTCAGTGTTAACCTGTAGTCGTCATTGATACAAATGTTTGTTAAAACCAGGTGGTCATTTCATTGGAGAAATTAGCTCGTTATAAACAGTTAACGTTATAGACAGTGATCGTTATAGACATGTGTTCGTTGTAGCAATGTTGCCGTTATAACCATGTGGTCGTTATAGACACGTGACCGTTATATACAGGTGTTCAGTGATAACCTGTATTCGTCATATACAGATGTTTGTTATAGCCAGGTGGTCATTATAGACATAAGTCTATAAGCTCGATATATACATTTAACGTTATAGACAGTGATCGTTATATACATGTGGTCGTTATAGACAGGAGTTCGTTTTAGACATGTTGCCTTTATAGCCAGGTGGCCGTGATAGACACGTGACCGTTATATACATGTGGTTGTTGCTTAACAATTGCTCGTCATATATTTCAACTTATATTAATCTCTCCTGTTGGCCCGGATGTTAGCGCGTGGAGGGTATTAAGTGTGTGAGGAAACCGGAGTACCCGGATAAAACCCACGTGGTCAGGCAGGTGACCCCGACGTGAAAAGGTTGGGGTTACCTGCCCGACCACGTGGATTTTTCTCCGGGTACTCCGGTTTCGACCCACACTACGACCCCCACGCGCAAACATCCGGGCCAACAAGTGGTAATTTATAACAAGCCAACGTAATTTGTATTTCATAATGACAGTGTGGTCGTTGCACACAGTTGGTTGATATGAGCAGGTGTTCGATATTCACAGGTTGCTAAATAGAAAACCGACAAAATTTGTAACATGGCACCTGTGTTTTCAGACAGCTTTATAGGCAGGTGATCTTTACACAGGTGGGTCCCCGTACCACTGCCCAAAACTGTAATTATGCACATGGAACGAATTTTCCAACATGATGATAGAATTGATAAATCTTTTCTGAAAAGAAAACTATAGTTTGAGGGAGTTTTATCGAAAAATAAGGAATGATGAAATGAACAAAATATAATCAACTAAAGTGTTATGAGTGTAAAAATTGAGCGGAGTTAGACCGGGATTCGAACCCAGGACTGATTGTCATACTACCGCTCTAACCGGATGAGATACCTGTAAAACGGAAATGCCCTGGCCTAACTGTGCTACAGTAATCGCCGAAACGAAATTAAGAAGAGGATATTGTCTATACGAAAGTCAAAAGTGCAGGGGGACACGGTTCCTTAAGGCACATTTCCTTGTTTGTATGCAAACTCGAAGAAAGAACCATTATTCTTACAAAGATGCCGCTGTGTATAAAAGTATAACCAGTGATTGTTTAATAAAATAGTTAAGGATCCCTGTCCCTCTGCTGGTAAAACGTTACAATGTAGTTTTCCTATAGTTTTTCGTACACACAGTAACCTTCATTCAATTTCTTGTATCTAGCGACTTGGCCAGCATACATCCGTAGCTCATCGTGTTACAGCTAACCAGCTATGTTGGTCAGAGGCACAGGGTTCGAATCTGACCCTTTTGCGTTTTAACACTCAGAACACTGTTCTCCATTCTTTTTCCCCGTTTATTTCATTTTTATAAATATTTCATGAAAGTGCAGCAAAGTATGGGTTTCTCTTCAGAAACGATTTATCAAAGCTATAGTCAAGCAGAACAAAATATAACGTAAAGTTAGTGTTTCTGACCGTGGCACAGGCATCCTTAATTGGGACTCGAAATTGAACACATATGTCAGTTACTTGATAGTTTAAAACCGTATTCTGTCTTGTTTCTGTGTCAGCGAGATTACTGACCCGATGGAATTAAAACCCATTGAGAGACAGACATACTACTGAAATTTACATTACAAATGATTGATTAGATGTGGGTGTGATTTCCATGAGGAGCAGAACAAATTTGTATGAGCTGTTTGATACCACTCGACACACTAGTGGCCCCTACCAGTGTCATCCGTTTGTATGTTGACCAAGTAAATACACCAACACTTTCAAAAGCATGACGAACGATTCTATTAAGTTAAATTCACTACACAACCAGTCCGTCCGGTTCAAAAATGCCAATATGGTCGAAACGACTAAAGCCCTGTGTGCTTTCGTTCATTCGATAATAAATTAATTCCTTCTGTCTTCAATGAAAACAAATCTTAACCTTATTTCTCTTCTATTGTATGTTTTTTCCCCTTATTTTTTTTTTTAGCTTTGACACACAGAAATTAGTGTTTAACGGTGTTTATAAAGAAATATTATTATTGAAAATTTTATTACAGAGAAACGGTTGACAAGAGCATATTATTAGAAGGTATGTTTTGTTGGAGTTACCCAAGGTGATGGCCTTTCTTTGTATACGAAAGCTATTGACAGTCATAGACCAAGGTCAGTTTTTAACGCATGGTTAGCTTAACGTTAAATTTAGACAAAATATTTGAATATGTGATTACTGAATATACATAGGGTCAGTGTTTAAGCATGGTTAGCTTAACGTTATATTTAGACAAAATATTTGAATATGTGATTACTGAATATACATAGGGTCAGTGTTTAAGCATGGTTAGCTTAACGTTATATTTAGACAAAATATTTGAATATGTGATTACTGAATATACATAGGGTCAGTGTTTAAGCATGGTTAGCTTAACGTTATATTTAGACAAAATATTTGAATATGTGATTACTGAATATACATAGGGTCAGTGTTTAAGCATGGTTAGCTTAACGTTATATTTAGACAAAATATTTGAATATGTGATTACTGAATATACATAGGGTCAGTGTTTAAGCATGGTTAGCTTAACGTTATATTTGGATGAAACGTTTAAATATGTGATTAAAACATATACATAGGGTCTGTATTTTAAGCATGGTTAGCTTAAATAAGTATTTAGAAAGAATATTTGAGTGTATATATTCTTACATGTATCACATGGTTACCATGTTATTCAGGAAATGTGCATCATGTCATATTATATATTATGTGTATGAATTCGTGTATTATGGCTTATATTGACGCCATAAATTGACGTCACGTAANTGTATCACATGGTTACCATGTTATTCAGGAAATGTGCATCATGTCACATATACATTATGTATATGAATTCGTGTATTATGACGCAACAAATTGACTTCACGTTAATTCCTGATTTAACGACCCCCCCCCCCCTAAATATTCGCAAAATATCTAAATTATGTGATAAAAAGATTCTAAACTTCGTTTCCATTTCACATGGAATACATAAAACAAATTTCAGAGTTTTTTTATTATTTAAGTTCAAATGAAAACTCTTGTAAGGTCAGTATAGCAAAGGTTGGTCACAGGCACCACTGTAACAGGAGTGGGAAAGTGCACGGCCAGACCGGGGTTCGAATCCGGGACCCTCCGAACTCAAGACGGGCGCACTACCAATTGAGCTACCTGGTCCCTGTCGATAGTATATAAAACAGTCGTTAAAGACATTTTATACAATTTTAAAATTGGAAGCTACGTATACAGACAGTGGTTTCTAAGACGGAATTAAGTGTAAAACGGCACACATCAGATATTGAACGACACACTTTTAAATCGTTATCAATAGAAAACATACTTTGTATGGCCTGCATCTTATTGGGAGATAAAGTCAATTCTATCGAATATATATGATATGAATGTTTAATGGTATATAACAAATTGTATCAATATCTCAATTGAGTATAATTATTAATCTACTTTGGAGGAGTTAGATTCCCTTTATCTGAAATATAAGTTTGTCTTATATACCGTGTATGTAAATAACATGTGCACTACTGGATGTTGTCATAAGGGGAGGACTTCTTTTTGTCAATAAAATGGGTCGAAATTTAAATTGAAAACACACGTTGAAAAAAGCAGAAGAGTTAAGACGAAAACCCGATATATAACCTTTAAAATACATATATATTTGATGATCTATCTGAGATTAAGAATTATGAGAC